AGCTGTCGTGGAACAACGATAATGGAAACGGACAGGGATAGACGAGTAAAAGATGACCAAAATTTGAACAAATTGAAATAAGTAATTCCCAGCACGAAAGAAATAGGAAAGGGAATAGTCTACTTCACTCGTCCCTCGCACTGCAGATGTTCCTGACTTTAAATGAACACTGTTCCATTTCCTAAGTCTGGACGATGTTCGTAACCTGTATCACACTGAAAGGAGTACCTACCTCTCCCTGAAAAGTTGAGAAGAGATACTACCTGAATGGACGCGGCTCAATCAGACGAGAGGGAATTAAGAACCCTCTCCCCGCTGGTGAAGGATGGATCCGTCAGCCACGAAAGCTGGAAGGGAACTGCCGGTTCCGGTTGGAGGCATCACACCCCGACCCGACCCGAGCGAAGGAGTTGAGGTCGAGGGCGCGACCCGTTTGTCTCAGGAAGACCTTCGGTGGATTCTCCGGAGGCGAAGTTCCAAGATGCGCCACATGTGAGGGGATCCGATTCCCTTCCTCGAAGCCTGATGATTCGTGTGTGTATATACCACATCCTGACAGATCGCGGCTGGAGTGAAGGGGAGCAGGTTCCCGTCCGTTGAGCATGGGTGTGCTGGGGCGATGCCTCCTGCTATGCCTCGTCCTCGGATTCGTCTTTTGCAATTCGGACTCGCACGAGACCGAGGCATTCGAGAAGCGGCCGAATGCGACCGAGGAGCATCCGTGGAATCGACTCTTTGGGGTCGTGAACGAGAGCTGGACGGCCATGGTCGCGTTTTTCTCGGAGCGATTGGATCCAATTCTCGCCGGATTCCGCAAGCTTGGTCTGTTGTTCCTCTTTTTTTTTTACAACATAAAAAATATTTCGACGCTGATAGACCTAAACAGAGGAAATGGGATGGAAAATCCACAAATTACAATCAATGAAAGGAAATTAGAACCAATGGTGAGTTTGATTCCGATCTAACTGTAGGCAAAAACTTGACATTTTCATTTTGATGGTGTTACCAAACAAAAAAACAGCTCTATGGTCTCTGACACGAAGGAATATAAGGAATAGAATTCCTTAGACGAAACTGATGGAAGGAGCCAACCCTCCCCCTCCCCTCTCCTCCCCCTCCCCTTTCTTCCTGACGAGAAGTTGGGGGAGAACCACCACAGAATCCTGCATATGAACCTAATGCACGATGGATTGATCAATGGGAAAAACAGTACATTGTGTTCTGTCTGTATGTGTGTGTGTGTGTGCGTGTGCGTGTGTGCACGAGGAGTCGTAAACAAAATGGATATCAACACATGAGGAGCCTCCTTTCGTGAATCATAATGTTGTTCTCAGAACAACTTGAAGACCACAGGTGGGTATGGCCTCTGCGTTCGTGCTTTTGCAGTGGTACATTTGCATGTGCATACGCAACGTTAGACAAATGGAAAATCTCCGAAGACAATAGAGGAGAGGAAGGCAATGACGAGCAGAAAAGCATTTTGGGCATCGAAAGGATAAAATTGGAAAAAGCCTAGTTTAAGTTCTAATAAAAAGAACCCAAGCAGACCCAGTCCAGTAGGGGGCTTCCTTTCGGTTAAGGGGACCCTCATTTGTCACCTAATTGAACAAAATGCCATCTATTTCCGGTCCTCGACCGTCACAATTTTAATTTCTCTTTTACATTTGGTAAACACAGACAAACCGTGCCCATGAAACGATGATGGGAGGATGGAGGGCTGCGCGCGGTCGGATCCATCCGCTACGAAGGCTCCTACCGAACTGGCAGCTCTGGTTGCTGACACGGAGCGGCTCCAGAGACCTGGATCGTAGGCGCATGCGCGCTGAGGTCCAGAAGGGCGCATGCGCGCTGAGGGCTAGAAGGGCGCATGCGCACTGAGGGCTAGAAGGCTCACGGGTGCTCGTGCCTTCCCCGCCGTGAACAAATTATAACATAAAATTTCCAAAAAAATGATAATTATAATGCTGATTCGTTGCAAATTGAGCTCAGCTTTTATCTTGTCCATAGACCATTTGTCGATCTTTGGAGTGATCAGGCCAATATTTTTTCTTAATTTTCGTCGGACAACCAAAGTTTGGACAGAGACAGACACACACGCACACAAGGACAAGACGAGACCGTAAGTGGTCATTTTCCTTTCAGAAAAGGAGACCTAATAAAAAATAAAACAGGGAATAAAATAAATGAATATTATCGGTGAAAGAGAAATATGACCCTTGCAAAGAGAAGCGGAACCTGCGAACAGCCATCGTTTGGGCGATGGGTTGGCTCCGACACTGGCTTCCAGAGGTTGGCAAAGCATTCCTTTAAAAACTTTCGGGTGTTGCTTCTTCCGTTCTCATCGTGAAGAACTTGGAGTGATTCTTTCTCGTCGTTTCGAAGCCGGCAATTTAGTTTGGTTCCATTTTTTCTCCGAACGTATTCCACGCTTCGGATTTTGCCTCGGGGGAAAAAACTTTGATCGAGGCCCCTTGCGCCTCTGCCAAGACTTTTGCGTATTTTCCCAAGCGAGGACTTTCGGTCGTGGTTTTTTCTTCCCCGATGTTGAGACGTGTCACTTCGCTGGTGAAAGCAAGAAGTGGATATCGCCATGAGGAATACGATTCTGCAAACCTCTGGCTCCTGGAACGAGAAAAGAGCATCTCCCGGCTCCTTCCATCGCCCAACACGAGGAAGAGAAACGGGAGACCGTCCGGCCTTCATCCCCACTGGACGCATGTGCAGGGACTGGCCCCACGAGCGACGATCCACGCCCTTCGAAGCGGGAATCCCAACGGCGAGAATATGGATGAGGAGCGGGGTAGGCCTTCCTCCTTTCCCCCCTACCCGCCACTTCCGTGGGATCTCGCGCGAGGTGCGGAGGTGCGTGTGTGGGGCTCGTCGGCCGAAGAGATCCTTGTATCATGGGGATTCGTTTCCTGTGCTTGGCCTTCAGCGTCGTGGCGGCTTTCTGTAAGTCGGTGCCGTGGTGTGGTACCTCGATCGGTACTTTTCGTCGAGAAGCGAATCCGTGTCAATAGGCTTTGGTTGAGTCTATTACCTTACTTCAACCCCATTCCGTGGCAAAATTCAACCTCCTCGTATTCCTGAGAGCATCAACAGAACGAAATTTGGCATGCTTCTTCCTCTCTCAACACAGAATAGCTCCAGGAAATTTGAAGTTCCATCTCCACGGAGTTGTGGAGAGCACTGAATCTCGCTTTCGGAAGATGTGATTTTTATTACTTTTTTTTTTCTCCCCCCCCCCCCTTGGTAGCTTGGGTTTCTTCAGAGAAAAGCGACTAATCATAAGAAAGACATTGACCGGTAGATAACGAATAGTGACCTTTTTGTTGTTTCGCGATGCACCATTTCGCCATGAAAAGTGAAATTAGCTTTCGTTCGATTATGCTCAGGTCGCTGGCTCCGGCACCGTCCCCCAGTGTTGCCGGATACCGCGCCGAAATGATGCCAGATTCAAGACTACTTCAACCTTCGTATGGGCTCTGGCACTTCTTTTTTTTAATGTGCGAGACCTTTTCGTGCTGAGTTCATGAGTTGAACTGAGAATGAAGCGGTGGTCAGTAGTTATTATTATTAGTTATTAGTTATTGGTCGATGTGTTGGGAGATGGAGATATCTCATCCGGACATCACTGAGTCAACAGAATGGCGCGCGCCGTGGGTTTCCTGATAACTTGAGGTATTCTCGCCTCAGGCCTATTCGAGATGGTTCGAGGAACTCCAGATAGGCCTAACGCTCCACTTTCCCCTGAAATGGTTCATGAAACGCGAAACAGGCCTCAGATCGATCTAATGTTACATGTAGTCTCTGAAATGGTTCGTGAACGTATCAATCGTCTCAAGACCACGATTCACCCTCATTTACCCTCAACTGGCCCCGTAAGTCGAGAATTGAGTTTTTATTGAAAGAAAAAAGGTAGGCCTCAAGGCAGTCTGTTGTTTAGGCTTTGGCATAACGTCAATGCGTCCCATAAGGAAGGGGACATTTTCACATTACTTGATATTCCTTCGCATCGAGGCAGCATGGCTCGAAGGAGAAAAAAAAGGCGAGTCTTTTGAATAATGCATGCATCTGACGGGAGATTAACGCGCGAGTTCGAAGAGACGGTTTCCGATTTGAATGTGAAATGAAACTCACAAGGACATCTGAGTTCGTTCTGTCTCGATTTTTTGTGCGAGGGGCGTTCGCAATGCGTTTTTATCGAAAGCCGGATCGTGGTTTTCCGTTTTCTCCCCGGCGATTTTAATCGATAACATTTCTGGTCGGCAAGGGAAGATCGGTATCCAACGTTTCTGATGCCTTTCTAGGGAAGATTTCCCCCGGTTTCTTAAAAAGCGGCGTGGAACGGCGTTCCAAGGAAAATCTCTGGAACCGACGTGCCTCGAACTCGAGTCACCCCATGTGCAAGTGCAAAGTTAAGCGAAGGAATGAATGGAACGCTGCCAAAAATGACCAAAGAAGAAAAATGACTTCTGAGGTCCTGTACGACCTTCACGGCTTTACGTCCGTCAGTGACAGTCATAACGTCGCGTGGATCTCCCCGCTGCAGGAAGCGTGTGAGCGGAGTTGTTACATTTTGCAAATTCTGTCAATATACCAGTTGCATTATCCTACACATGATATACACAAGCGCGGTGCACCCTCCACCCCCTCCCTCCCCGAGAAACGAGTACTTGTAAAAAAAAAAATGATTTGGGGAGTACACATGCCCTAGAGTAAAAATAGATGATAAATTTGTAAAGCTCCTATATAAATGATTTGCTAATTGGTAACAGGCATTTTCATCGCCTAAAATTAATCCCATGGATAAAACGTATCGTAAATAAGCACCGTGTCTCAAAAAAGGTGTCGTTATGCCCATTTTCACGGTGATTCTTTCGATTCTTCATTTTAGTCGGAGCGCAGACGACAGATATTGCCCCCGATCAAAACCACGTGAGTTCATCCGATTTTTAGAAAACTCATGCAGCAGGAAGAGGTCAGCTAACAGGATTGACATGGAGTTTAAATCGTGCAGGTGCGAGGCCATACCTGCGGCCTTCAGCACGGATTCGAGGGGAGGAGGAGGAAGAGACTCGCCGGCGCCTTGGATGCAGTCCATCGACAAGTCCCCTGGCAGGTAACTGCATGCTCTTGAGGGCTGGGGGTCTTTCGTGGGGTGGCAGGAGGGCTGAGACGTTGGGGATGCCCGTGCAGGCGGAGATCGTGTTGTTGCTGGGGAAGCGAGTGAGGCACGTGTGCGGGGGGACGTTGATCGGCGATCGGCACGTTCTCACGGCTGGGCATTGTCTCAACTCTTACCCGAGGTCGCTCTATGCCGTCTTTCTGGGGAATCTCCATCGAATCGTGAGTTTCCTGAAGTTCTTACCCCGCGATGTCATGGCATGGCGGTCCATCGCGGTCGTCTCGTTACAGAATTCCTCAGAAGATGGAGACTTCTACGCGCGTGTGGAAAAGAAACACGTTCATCCCGACTCGAAATTGGGAACCTCGACTCAGCTTCCCTTCAATGACATAGCCGTTTTGAAATTGGACAGGAAAGTCCCGCTCGGTGACTCGATATCGCCGGCTTGCCTGCCCCGACCTGACGATCGTCTCGCGGAAGGTGATACCGTGACTGCCAGTGGATTCGGATTCATCGAAGGTTCGTGCCGACTTTTTCCTATGTGTATAAAGTATACTGGGAACTTACTTCTAATGGGAAGATTCATTATTTAGAGTAGGTTTTTTTTCAATTGGTTTGCATTTGAAGCTTCCGAGAGAGATTATGTAGTCTCTAGCACTTTCTGACAAGATTTCATTCCGAATGGAATTTAATATCAGCACCTGTGATTCTCACCTTATCAGAAAGTGAAACTCAATTACGATATTTCCGATAATTTTTATTATTATTTTTCGTTTCCAGAGCTACATCCGAGTAAGAACAATACCCGCCCAGGTAAGTTATTATCACGATGAACTTACGAAATTGAAAAAAAAAGAACAAAACAAATTCGGATCTTTCTGAAACGTGGCGATGCAGGTAAATTCGGAAATCGACTCGAAGCCATGCCAGAGAGACTCCAGATCGGGGAGTTGAAGATCGTGTCCCCGTCGTCCTGCGCCGCCTTCCACGCCTCGAGGGACCAGATCCTCTACTCCCAGTACTTGTGTGCCGAATCGGCGAGCGAGAACGGGACTGCCATCTGCAACGGGGATTCTGGTGGACCCCTGACGAGCGTCTTCCGAGATGGTCGCACGTCAGATCACCTCTCGATTGAAAACGTGTCGCAACGCCCGTATTACTGGGATGTGGATCTTTTCAGGTCGTCATTACGTGTTCGGAGTGGCGAGTTGGTCCTTACAAGTGACGGGGTGCCGGAACGGAGGGAAATCCGCTTTTACGGACGTCAGTAAATACGTGGATTGGATCAAGGATGTCATGAACTCAACTTCCTGACGATCTCCTCGCTTAAACCAGAGCTACTCAACTTCGGCGGGCCTCAGGCGGGGGTTACTAAGGGAGGGAAAAAAACCACACGAGGTCAAATACATATACAGGGTGGCGCAAAAGTCAGGACGCATTGGGTAACGTTTATTTAAATAAATTTTGAAACTGCTTTCCATTAGTAAGAATACATGCTTCAATTAACTTTTCAAATGACTGTTGGACTTTCATTAATGTCAGTCATGCCCACTTCTTTGTCTTTGAAGCGCTCGATAACTTTTCTCCCTTCTGGCCTCCCCCTTCCTCCTACCCTCCCTCTCCCCCCTTTCTCCCAGGCTCCTTCTCCCCAGAGGTCTCTGGAGAGCGTTTGGCTAGAGTAACCCTGGCCTGGTCCATTTTGCTGTCAATTGTCATTTTCGTCAATAAAGATCTCATTTTTCTATTCCTCGACCTCACACCGTTTATGCAGGAACATTTCCCGGCAAATTTCACTTGATGCTCCCTAATTCAATTTCGATAAACGAAAATGTCTCGTCCGAAAAGATTCAGCTGGTTTCAGATCGCACCTGAGGCTATGTCCGGAATGAGGAATTCCCTAGAGGAAACCGATGAGCGGTTGCTGGAAGAGCCCTGATTTTCCACGTAATTTTGCGAAAATTTGACCGCATGGAGATCCCGATGGGAGATTACCCTTAACCCGTCTTCATCATCTGGGATGCACCCGCTCCGAAAGATCGGTACGCCTTTGGAGGGAGCCTAGTCACAGACGAGAAACCCTCTTGTTCTGCAGTTTAAACGAAATGATGAATAGTAAGTATGCACGTATTTCTTTGGAATTACTTGAGTTTTACCAAATTTCGTCTAACAGGTTCACACAATGGAGCCACAGTAAAGTTGATTAGGCATCTCTATAATGTGTCCAACGTCTTCGTACCCAATGGTTTGAATCGAATATCAAATACGAAGAAAGAGCACAGAATGTAGAAGAGCAGGCCATCTAACTCCGGTATATCCACCTCCACTTCGCCGAGAGTTTCTATCCATTGGCCTTGTCAGGAACAGGGAGTCCTTCGTGATGGCAGATGGAAATGTAAGTAAATGAAAACGGATTAAGCTGCTGAAAGTATTTGAACGACTTTCACTACATATTTCTCATGCTACGTGAAGATTTGAAGACGTATGATTGAACCCTCGCAAGGGGAAAATATGACAGTTTGCTACAAGCTACACTTAGTGCAACGGGCTAGATTTGCTTGGAGTCAGTTCAGTGTCGTCTTTTCACCCGAGGACTTTGTACGGTCCATTGGCGATGGGAAATGTATCTTTTCATCTGCTAAAATTGTCCATTCGGAAACAATATATGCCTCATATGGCGATAATTAAGCTTTAGAGTATTTTCAACTCATTTTTATGCGGGCGGGAACATCTCTTGAATCCTTCTCAAAGAAAAAGATTTAAAATATTCTTCCGTACCTTTCACATTTCTGCAAAACTTTGGGGAGGAAAGCGACCCACCATGAGAGAGATATTGACTCGAAGATGACGAAAAGCGTGCTCGCTCCGGTAACGTCCCCCAGTGTTGCCGGATACCGTCCGGAAATGATGCCAGATTCAAGACTACTTCAACCTTCGTATCGGCTCTGGCACTTTTTTTTTAAGTCATGAGAGGTTTTTGGGATGAGTTCCTGGGATGAGTCGAGAATGAAGCTATTATTTGCAATTTATGATCGATGTGGTGGAATATGCAGATGTTTTATTCGTGGACATCCCTGAAATAACCGGACCCACACGCGTCCCATGGATTCCATGCTTCCTGAGTGCATTCTCTCCTCAGACCTATTCGAAGGAACTCCAGATAGGCCTAACGTTACAAGTCCTCAACCAAGTCCTTCATTTTCATCAAAATCATTACCTATATGATTCTATGTGTGCCTAACTTTAAATCTTTTCTTGCGTTCCTTTGTAAGGGTAGAGAATACATTTTGAAATACTTCCCTCAATAATCTACGCTAAGGAGACATATTTCAAAATTAGGATTTTTCCTTTACTCAGGAATCAAACAGGTACTTCTGAGGGAAGTTTAAATTTTCTGTCTTTGTTTCGTCGGATCAAAGAAAAAAAATTCAGGAAAATGGGACTGAAAAAAGTGCCCTGATGGGCAATAGCAAAAATTTTATTTCTTCTGAAATGTAGACTCAGGGAACTCCATGTCGCCCAGTTTCAGCCTCATACGTTTCCCCTTTTTTTCTGGCGGAAATAAATATTTTTGGAAATGCGACCCACCCAAAAGCTATGCCAGGAGGGGATGCACCATGAAAGGTGAATATTCCCTCAGCTCAGTACTATCATGTCACTTATCCGTGTGCCAAGTTTCAACTTTCCATTTCTGTTCAATTCGCAACGACAATTTTTTTTCTTCAAAACCTCGAAAAAATTCCCCCAGGGAATGTATCGAGACTTAACATTCAACGTTTCATGAAGAGGGCAGAATTCCTGAGAAGGTCCACGTCTTCTTTGGATGTATGATATTGGTCAATGTTTTCCAAATTTGGTAGTGACAAGATGCTGCTTCGGAGGGGTGATTTGGGTG